TCAGTTATTCAAGAGCTCTGCTTGTCCTGCTATGCCTGCAGCTCAGTATTTCACTAAGCGACAGTCCTGAACGGATCTTGAATAGGCTGCTGAATAGGAACAGTTCTTTAGCTAAGCAAGAAACGAAGAGATGAAGAAAATAAATGTGGGAAAGAGAAAAATAAAAAGAAGGGAAGAGAAAAATCCTTATATTGCACAGATATTTGCCCTGGCTAGTTACACAGCTTTGCAAATCCCTCCTCCCCCACACACACAGCCCCCAGCCCAGAGAGGAGCCTCATACACCATGGTTTCTGTTATGTAGCTTCAGTCTACAAAACTAACTTATTTTCTAAGTGGCAGTGACCTTTAGTCAGCCTTGGTACAGCTACAGAAATCATGAAAGAACAGGAGTAAGACCTCCCAGAGAGAACATTGATGAATATGGCTCCTCCATAACGAGCTGCCTCCATACCAGCTATGTGCTGATTTGATTAAAAACTCCAACTAAAGACAGAGGGCCAAATCCTCTTGTAGTGTAAATTATGTAAGCTTCAATACACTCAGTGGTACTATGCCAGTAGTATAGTATCTTATTAAGGATCTTGTCCTCAGGGCTTTTCCCATAGCAGCAATCTTCCAATGCACTGAAGGCTAAGGGTGGGATTCAGGTGGATATAGGATCTGGTTGCCATAGCAGGCATCCAAGTTCAAAGTTTAGATCCTCAGTTGCCCACACCCACCCACAGCATCCCAGCCATCAAAATCTCAGAGCACCTAAGCTTTCAGGCTTACCTGTGCTCAGGTTAGGCACTTCACATTCATGCTGATCATGCTTAGCACATTAAAGCCATTCTCATGCCAAAGCCCCACAGGGTCTCCAGCACCAGGATTACCCCATGCTTCTGCAGCTTCACCAAACACCCAGGTGACGTTATAATGCGTGTGGCAGACACTGCACAAGCAGGAGGGACAGGTGATGAGAACAGCTCTGTGTTACCCACCCAGGGGCTGGCAAACATCCAGCACTGAAAGCCTTTGTGTCTGCCTGACAATGCTCCACCAGTGACACACAGCAGATCTTTGTCCGATTTTCATTTTTTTCATCTGTTTAGGTAACACAAGCTGCTCAGCATTTAAGGGCTGCGCTGCACTGCCTAGACATGTCTGAGCCTGTTACTCTTTCTCTGCTTCTTGAATGGCCAACACTAGTCAGCTGTGCACAGCAGTGCCAAATTGAGACTAGGAGAAAAGATTCTGTGGGTCACTTTACAGTCTGTGTGGGTCTGTGAGATTCAACTGATTAGTGGCTGTTGTTGACAGTGAGCACAAAAGGGATACAATGATAACTGCAATTAATTGCTGTAGAAATTAATGCAATGATTCAAAGAATTTTTAAGTTGATTTTCATTCACACCTTCTTGGCTGTTAGAGCTCTGCTGTGAATGTACTTTTTAAATTTATGTGATTCATATTTGTATGATCTAAATATTGTGCAGTTCACGTAGTGGAAACATTATTCTGAAAATGTTCATTGCCAAAAGAATAAGCTCTAAAATGAGTTCACTGCTAAATTAACATCCCAAGTTATCTTAAGCAGAATATTAGCAAACTTGGAAGTAAGTTGTTTTGCAGGAGGTGGGTTTTAATCATAATGGAATAGTGTAAATAAATGGAACATCAACACAAAAAATTTCTATGCATTCAAGAGAGCATTAATGATTATTGCAAAAAATAGACTAATTTTCAGTAAGATTATGGAAAATTAGAATCACTTCACTGTGGTACTAATGTTTAAAATGTATCTTTCAGGAACTTCACATCTATTAGTTTGGAATCCACAAAAGCAAGATAATAGAAATACCTAGAAGGAAAGCAGAGGTAAATGACATTGGATTACGCTGCTCTCTGAATAGAAGGGGGAACTGAACATACTCTAGTTTATTTGGGCTCACAGTGCATTAAAGGAGAGCACTTCTTTGGAAATACGTTTACATATTACTTACAAATCATGATTAACCTATAGAAATGCAATCTGACAATATGGCAAAAGGAAACAAATGTGTATTGGTTGCTTTCTGCATGATTAATGCTTCTTTCCATCAGACACATACATTTCATTTTATTAAAGATCACATTTCTGATTGCAAGAACTTGATCATAAATAAAGCATGCAAGTGGAAGTTGAAAATCCTCTAATATTAATGACAAGAAAAATGGATTTATTGAATAGTTACCTGCAGTTCATACATACATAAGCACATAAAATGATAACCCAGCAGAGGTACCATCTCCAACCTGGGAGAAGAGACCCTGTTTTATAAATAGCTTAATAATAATAGCAGTACATTTAGAGAAAGTTATTTCTGTCTTCTCTGTCTAAAAAGAACAGAATAACAGCCATTTATCAGCTATTTTCTACCTTGTCACTGTATCTAGGAATTATGAAGTTTGCCTTTACTCATTCAACTCTGAATCCAACATGGGTGGACTTCAATTTAATAGTTCTGAACTTAGGTATTTTTTGCCAATTTGGAAATTGGCAAAAAAAAAAAAAAGAGTTGCTGATTAATAAAGAAAAGGCTAAGAGCTAATCAAATGGGATTTTTTTGTCCAAAGAGCTGATATATAAAAAATCTAGTGTATTATTTAAAACTTGTATAGTTCTGGGAAAAAAATTAACACATCAATAAACAAACATAATTTAAACAGGGCTAATAGGCTTCACATGACATAGTACAGTGTTGCTGAGGAAATATCTAGAGCAGCGAGGGCTGGGTAGGATGTAAAGCAATTAGAAAACTCCTCCCTAAGGCTGGCAGGTAGCAGAAATAATTCAGTTGCACTGTGGAAAGTACCTGTCAGAAAAGTTCATTTTGTGAATCTACCAATAGCTTTCCTATCACCCACATGAGGCTGCCTGACTGTTTGCCCCACATAGAAAGGAATATCTGAGGACAAAAAATCTGCAGCTTCGTCCCTTACACATCACACCCCAGGCTGGTTCATGGATCCTGGGGATGCTGTTGCCTCACTGGCTGTTTACTCCATCAAAGCTGCTCACTGTGCCCCAGCTCTGCTGGGCAATCTCTATTCCAGTTACCACCAGCTCAGCAGCTCATGGGAGTATCTCTTGCTCAGTCAGTGTCCAAAAGAACTGGGTGGTTGCAGATGTCCATTACTTCTGACACAGGCTAGCAAAGCACAAAACAGAGAGAGCAGAGCTGGGAGAGTCAGAGGGGTAAGTGACAGGTAGAAAAAATCTGAGCAAGCTTTGGGCTCACAGTGAGCACCTGACTGTTTTGGAAAGAGCAACTGTGGAAGATCTGCTGCTTGCATGTCTCCAGCAGGCAGGGCAGCTGCCCCAGCTGGCATGGGACACATCCTCCAAAGAATGCTCAGTGCATCCAGGGATGCTGAGAGCCAAACTGAAAAGAGGTGTTTCTCACATAAACATCCTTGCAGGATATAGCCAAGCCTATGATTTGTCAAATAAATTCTTTTTAAAATAAATAGTAGCACTTACAAAAAGTACAAGTTGGATTTCTGTTCCCTGCTCCTGTTCACACAACGTCACATAGAAATTTAAAGACAAATCTACTGACTCTAAAAAAATGCCTGCCAGGCAAGGTTACAGCAGTCACACATGCAGCTATACAAGAAGGATAGGAACTACCATAGAAAGCAGGCAATAACTTTTGTGCTGAAACAAAACTAATTAAATGGGAGATGATACATGTCTCATAACAATAGCAAATGAACTGAACAGTTCCTTGAAAACCAATTAAATCAACTTCTTACTTCCAAGACTTAGACAGAAATTAATATAACCTTAATAAATGACATATAATTAAAACTTTAGGAAGCCATTCATGTAAAAACGATATCAGGTTGTCTTATGAACCCACAGAAAATAATTGTAATCTAAACATTTCCAGTTCTGATTTGGGAGATCAAGAGTGAGATCTCCATGTTTCTGAGTGGGTGTTCACATTACACAGACTACAGATGGGAAGGGTGTTAGGCCAATTTACAAGTTTAAATCCCTGTTTAAAAACACTATCTCAAAATATTATACAGATAGAATCAAAGTTGACAGAACTTGTCACAGTTCCATTCCTCAAAATGAATCTATTTCCTTGTTTTAATTATCCAGATACATATCTTAAATCAAAACCACACCCAAGCCCTCGTTTCTAGCACTCTCCTCTGGCTGCTGTTGATAGCACCAGATCCAGCAGCATCTTACATGTTAGTAGCCACATCCACAGCCTGCTTCCAGGCCTCTCTGCTCAGTTCCTGTGCCAAGCACCATAACCAAGAGGGAAAAAAAAGATACTTGCACAAGTGCCTGCTTGCATATGTGTGTTCTCACACACATACACCCTACACCAGATAATATGTAGGGAAAAATATCTAATCTCTTATTTTATGCTGTGCCAAAAATTGGGGAACAGGTGCATTGATGGAAGCTTATTGTATCCTTCTGTACTTCTAGTGAATTAATAATTCCTCTCTTCTTTTTCTTACGTTTTTAAACTAAATTTCTGGTGCCAAGTCTTTTTTTCTGCTTTAGATGGCTATACAGCTATAGTTTCTAATGATTTGCAGTGACAATTCCAGAGTAAGGAACTACCTCTCCCTCTGCTCACAACCCTCATTCCTGTCCCATCCTTTCCCTTGTGCTGACATGACTGTTTTCAGGGACATAGGAACCGGCTCAAGGAAATAGGTTTCAATTTAAAATAGCACTGGAAAAGTAGATAAAAGTAGAGGAATGTTTTAATCTGAACCTGCTCCCTTACCTATTTTCCTACACCTCTTTTAAAAGATTTGTATCAAAACAACTAGTGAGGCAGGTACAGGTCAGGAAAAATCAACTGAGGACTGAAACCCTCTAAATGTTTTTGCTGAACAAGAAGAATGTGAAACTGCACTGTTAAACAGTACCAGGTATTATTTAGCTAGTTAAAGAAGAAGTAATACAGAGCTTGGGAGCTGAGGTTAAAGCACTGTTTGCCATTAACTTCAAAGCAATGCAAAGAGGGAGATCAAGTCAATCTTCAAGAGTGCTACTGGTGTTTGAAATGTATTCATTAAACAAAGGAACTGCAGGAACTGTAAGCGCATTTCAAATAATTACTAATTTTAATGTTATTTTCTTGCAGAATTTTTTATGCTTATGATTAATTTATTTGTTTTAGGGGCTGCAGGGGACTATTTTACTTTACAGTTTTATTAATTATTTGTTCTTGCTACTGTGCAATAACATGCTTTTTTGCCTTTTTTTGTTTGTTTGTTTGAAGGCTTTTTTCCCTCAGAAAAAGTATTATTACATGATAGAATTACCCACCTGTAACAAACTCACTTCTGTGGGAGAAAATTTGTATTAAATTGCACTTCAAGATGGGAAGACAATCTACCCCTTAAAGAAAGATGAAAATAGTTGTATGGGAAACTTTTGGCAGAGAACAAAGGTTTTCCTAGAAAATGCTGGTCTACTGAGCAGATCCTTTGCTGTTTCTTCAGTTTTTCCGTAACTCTTCAAGATTAATTATCAGTAAGAATATACGGATTAGATTCTGAGTCACTTTATTTCACATATTTCACAGTTAATTCATGATTTACTCAAATAAATTTCTCAGGGTTTGGCTCCATTAGAATAGTGTATTTAGGATTTTTACACAGTATTATTCATCAATAATTACTTAGCTGCTTAGGCCTTATTTTTCAAAATCTACATCTGTATTTGGTTACATTTTAAAATACCTAATATCCTGCTAGGACACCTCATAGGAGTGTTAGAATCCAAGGCAGCAAAAAAGAAGTGTCTTTAGGATTTGGTGAATATTTTAATTACTTCAGAATACAGAAAAAATCTTTATCAGAAGACATGGAAAACATAATTGTACCGGTTCCTGTACCAAATTAATTTAATTGGAACACAAAATCACTAACGTTAAATTCTAGTGAAATTTTTTAATTGATGGTATTCAGGCACTTAATCCTCCCAAAGACTGAAACAGTAGCTAAAATTGTCTGACTTTTAGGAACTTTAGGTTCATTTCTAAATGAACTTAAGGTTCATTTCTGTCAAAGGGAGGAATTTATGTTGTTTGGAATATATTGTCCCAAACAGCCACACTTATGAAGAATTAATCCAAAATCAGCAGAATAAGTACAAATACTCTCTTTGTGCCCTTTTTTCTAATCTGGCCTTTCACTCAATTCCCTGCCCCAAAGGGTTCTGCTTCTGAGCTCTCTCTTAGTGTCTGCCTGCATCTTTCCTTATTTGTTGGTTTTTCTTTGCTAACATATCTGATTATGAAAAAATTCCCTAGAATCTGGATTTATGACTGGTGTCTATATGGCTTAGTTTTTCCTAGGTATTGCCACATGACTCAAGTATCAGCTTCTCTCTCTTTTTATATATGTCTATTGATATCCATATATTGGTTTTGATGGTGTTAATGAGAAGGTTCATAAAATTTTCACTTTGACTCTAAGTTCCTATTCAGGTAGTTCCAGCTCTCATAAAGGGTAGTGCCCTGTGTTTATTAAGACAAGTAACAAAACATGCTTCCCTTCTCTGTTTATTAAATCTACAAGGATCTGAGACAGGGATCCAAAGCTGTCTTAGACTTTCATATTGCCCTGTATCACAGCAGCTTCAAAGCATTCTGTTCTCATCCAGGAGCAAATGGGCAGGAGGGAGTCACTGCCTGGAGTCTGGATTTGGTTTTTTTTTGCCATTGTTGCTGGGAATTGGAAAACTTATGTTACAACTTTTTCTGCAATATGGCTAAGCCTAAAGACTTAATTTAATATTACATCCCAAGTATATTATAAATATTATTTGATTTGTTATTTTTGGAGCCTGTATGACAGCATTGGTTTTCATCCCAGATTACATCTAAAATAAGAAAGAAAAAAAGGCAGATAGACTTCCTAACAAGCAGTATCTGTTTACCATCAGTTGCCAAGAAATTATGTAGTGGCTTAGAGAAATTGAATGTTTTTTTCTATGGCTTAGTAGTCCAGACCGTCACGGGAACTTATGAAACTGGGAATCCACATGTTTTATAAAATTTCTCTTTTGGAAATAAAAATTTGGCTTAAATCTATTAAATGTTAAAGGTAACACAGAATAATTTTTCAGACTAAAATCCTTAAAGAGGGATTCATGTAATAATGTGACAGAAATTGTTTTTCATATTTCTAACATTCCTTCTCTGTTCATACAGCTCACAATCTATCAGCTACAGGGTTTTATTTGCCTGTATCTCTTAAAGAGTACAACAGAAAGACCAAGAGCTAGCCTTTCCTGTACCATGATCAGCCATGTATCATTAACTAACCACAAATTAGAAGTCACTACTAATGCTTATGTATATAATATTCCTGAGCAATATCTAGAAAACAGTTGTTGCTATAGGAGTTTTGTAAATATGAACCCAAAGTAATTATAATCAATTTATTGAACACAATGCAATCATTGACTCAACAAAATCCTTCACCACAAAAATGTGCAGGTTAGAAGATCTGAATACAGGTCAGCAGTTGTTCTTGTATTTTCAGTAATTGAACCATTTCTCTAACTCTGTAGAAATATAGAAGAATCATAAAGAGACAAGAACTTTTCATTCTGGCAGTGTAATCACATTTAAATCCCAGTCAGTACCAAGGTTAATCAAAGGAGCAGGCTTCATTACAAGTGTTAACTGTAATTTTAAATACCTTGCAATAAAATCAGGAGTTAACTTTCACAGTCTTTCAAAACATGGATATGTCCCTGAAAAAAGCTATGTACCTGCAGATGCAATAGCTAAAGCTAAAGCTGTTTAAATAACTGCATTTAAGAGCTTTCTGAAACTGTTTGTAATATTTGATGAAAAAATAACTAAAAATTATTTTCTCCATAATTAGTTGATCCTACTAGTATAACCATAAGATTAAAAAAAAAGCATCTATTCTCCTATCAATTTTTTTTGAGTGTTGACATAGATGACATACAAGAAACAAGACGACAAATATCAATATATAAGCAATGTCTCCAGGAGAAAGTAGATTGAATGACTAAATATGGGTTTACCAAAATGACTGAGCAATTGTCCCTTGCCCCTTTCATGTCCTGAGGGTATTCATATCTCCCCTAATCAAAGTGCTCACTTAATCTGAGTTGCTCCTATTCACTCAGTCTGCTTACCTTCTAACCTACTGACACAGCTTTCATCAACATTTATAGAAATTTAAATTAGTTTTTCATCAATAATTGTTTACTCCCCCGAAAACATACTTATGCTGAACCATAGCTTTATTTGTTCAAAATTTTGCCTCTAGATGCGGTACAGTTCTGCAATTAAGAATTACAGTATAAAGGCAAAGATCTGCAAGTTAGGATTTTGGGGCTCTCAAACCATGACAGTATTCAAGATTTGGAACTAGATAACCAGCTAGAGATATCCCACTATACATTTTTTTTTTTTTAAATGATGTTTCACTTACAGTTTGTTAAAAATGGGATAGCAACCTCTGCCCAAAGATTCATGTATGGGAATATTTTATTGTTTTTCTTCTAGCTGATTCACAATAATTAACTGAAGCACAGAAGTCCCCTCTTAGTGAGGAATTCTTTCAGCTGGGATATGCTTTGACCTCCTGCATAACAACAGATGGGTGAAGCTTGCCAAATATCTCAGAAAAGGTGGCTCAAATCAATGCTTTTTCTGCGTGTCCAAAACACACGTCCGACAATCACAGATACCATGTACATGCTGCTGCTGTTCCCAGACTGCGATCTCTATTGTCGAGGTCCTGGTAAGATATGACACAAGGGATGGATCTCTAGACATTGAAGGTAACAAATGAAGCAAACACTATACTATCTAATTCAGGCTCTGGGCCCCAAATTTTCAAGCTTTTCACAAAAATTGTAGTTAGGACTAGAATTCCCAAAGTATACGTGAGTTTTTTTAAAGAAGCCAAATTCTCAGCTTGCCTGAAAAATACATCCATGTATGTCCATAGGTGAGATACAATTCAAGCAGGAGAACTTCCTCTAGTAATAAGTATTTGGAAATAGTTCTAATAGGTATAATAATGGTGTGACGAGATCATCTCTCAGCTGAGGCTCAGAATAATCTCTCCACTTTCCTTATAAAATATGCAGTTGCAAACAAATAATGATGTCTCTTGATCTCCCTTTCTGGGATCCTTTTAAGGCAGAAAATCATTTTGTTAATAATTATTACTTGTTTAATAATAACAGACAACAGCTAAGGAACAAGTATAATACAAGAGATATATTGGTCATTTCAAGCAAATCAACCATCTCTACAAACTTAGAGGAGAAAGCCAGAAGGTACATACTCAGATGCAAAATTATAATTACAGACAGAAATACAGCATAAATCCTCAGCTACCAAAACTATTCTAGGCTGGAGACCTATTTTTACTCCTTCTTTAATATCTATCATCTTGATATGTAAAGATGACAAAAAAAAATAGTCTTCAGACTTTTTCACCAGTATGTTACCATATGCTCTTTGCTACCCCACTCAGTGTTTTAAGGTTTTGAGTCCATTGGTTTCACTTCTGAAAAGTTGAGAGGAGAGAAAGCCAAACAGAGAAGATGGATTTTTACTTTGTTCTGTTTAGCTCCAGTAAAAAAAATATGGCATAAGTAAAATGTGCCAGGCCCGGTCCCTTTGAAGTTCTTACAGGAAGGTCATACACATTCTCACAAACTCTCACATCCCTCACAGAACAGGGAGAACAAGTAAATAAGGGGAGCTCTGGGCAAGCAGCTAAATATTGCATCTGTCCTTAGCTTCTAAAACACACCTATGAGGCTATAGATGGTCAAGCAGTCTGAAGCTGCTCTGAGTTATATCTGGGACTCATTCCAGAAAAAAACCTGCAGAAATGACATGGACTGTCTCTCTCCTTCCCAGCTATGCCAATGATTTCTCTGTTGCAGTCTTATTCTTACTGGGATTCACTGAAGAATCCCAGGCTTCATGATGTAAATAAGGAGAGACACTGTTATCCCTTGTAGAATCATCAGGCTTAATCTTTAAGGCTCGCAGTAGACTGTCCCCATTGCTTTCTGAAGTGACAC